GGTATTTCCGATGTCGAAATGAATAATGATAATTGCTTTGATTGCCCTAGTGACATTGAAGTTATTTTTCCCATAATTGAGTAGACTTTCAAGACTACCAGTAAATCTGGTATATAAAATGAATTCATCCCACTTCGAAGGTATGAAGACCAAGATGGTATGCCTTTTTGTGTAGTCGCAGTCTCCTTTCGTTGTATACAAGTTGTTTGACCTTGTTTTCCCAACTCGATCATGTTGGTAGGATGACTGTGGAAGTGATTATGCATGCAATGCACTCCGGACAATGTGCGTTCCTCTAAGTCTTCCTACCAACATGACCAATTTGCGAAAACAAGGTCAAACAACTTCACCCCATTTTGTTTAAAATGATGAACGACTGGTAGTCCATTTTCCCACAATCTGTTGACTAGAGCTTATATTTCCATTCAATTTCACACAGGCCTGTTTTACCAAAAGGTGATATCATCCCGACTGGAATGTGCTGCAATTTCGGGTTCGCCTCGTCCGGGTCTTATCAACACCCCCAGCGGGAGTCGAGCAATGACAGTGCATAGCGTAATTACGGAAAAACTAATTTCGTCCATTACTATGACAACTATAACTGGGCTTCATCGACAATCCCAACGCAGAATGTGATAATGAAAAGGTGTGATCTTCCTTGAAATTGACATCTACTTTGTGGGCCAACGGCATGGTTCAACTCCCGCTTGGGCTGTTGCTGAGACCGAGACGAGGCGAGGTCGAAACGGCAGTCTACTGGAGCCGGGAGGAGAACAGCTTTTGGGAAAGCATGCTTGTGTGAAATTGACTGTGAAAATGCGAATTCCAGTCCTTCATTAGTTTAAACCAAATAGGTTGAATACAACTCGCGTATTGTGGCGTCAGTGCTAATGTTGGTACGAGCGATGATGATGTCAGTGGTTGCGGTGGTTTTAGCGGCGGTAGTGTTCATTTTGGTGTGGATGATGATGATGCTGACAGCGAAGGTGGTGCTGGTGTTGTTGCTTTGAGTGATGCGAATGGTTAGGGTTAGGGTTGTATTTGGCGGCATCATTGGTGGTAGTGATAGTGCTCGTGCTGTTGACAGTTGTGATGTTTTGGTGGGGGGGTTGATGCTTTTGGTGGTTGTGCATGTGGCGGTGGTCGTCGTGGTGTTGACGATGATGGGGTTGGCGTTGGTGCTGGTGGAGTTGGGGACTGTAGGCCACTGGCGCCAGACTTGTTTGCTTG